CCACATAAGTTGATTTTACTGTTGACTGTATTAAAGTACATAATATAGTTCTACTATATTTAATGCCAAATGTAAACGATTTGTATTTTAAGAATATAAGAGATGAAAATGAGACTAACTTCATAGATGACAAGATAATTAATAGTAAACAGGTGATTTTGACAATCTTCAAAGATACAACAGCATTTATCATGGGAAATTTAAGAGATCAATCAATTAATAATAATGGAGATAGCTAAAATTATTTCTATATATATGTAGTATATATGTATTTCTATATGTAGTAAGTGTAATACTTGTATGATATATAGTTCGATTGATAATTAATTAACTAGCAACATAGTTAACAAAATTTTATTAGTTTCGCTATAAACTGTTGGTTTGTTTATTTAATGAAAACACACGTCACTTATTCAAAATATCTTTCTGCTTTCATACATTTATTATTTGTGATACAATAATTATTGTTATATGTGGACGGTTCTTTAAATAAATTATAATGTTATTAGTTTTGAATCATGTTTTATTACGTATATAGAAATATATATTGCACAATATGTTTAAAAGTTAATGTATAGAATTATCAACTTAATTATATTGTAAGGAACATATACATAAAGTAACATGACATGCATGAATAAAAAAAAGAACTCACATGGGTGTAAAAGATCTAAACGTTACGCATTTATACATGTATGTTGAATATATCAGAAAATAAACGCAACTAGTTTATATTTAAAAAATGCACGACTACATATCCAGTGAATTCCTTATTTGAAACAGAGCCGTATTGTAAGTTTTACTAGCTAGCGGGCGATATAAATATCCTTTGCGGTAAGGCGCCCTCTAGGCATGTGTCTAGATACCGAAAGAATTATCCGTCACTAGTAACTGCCACTCTAATATGCTAAGTAATACTAGTAGTCCTCCTATATTTTTTTTATATCGTACTACTTAGCTATGTTCTGCCCTGCGATTTCATAAAAATACAGACCTTTCGATTAACATTACCAGCTGGTGGGAATTAACATTAATAAATTGAAATATATTTGATATATCGTGAACGGCGTGTCCATCCTGTTTTACTCTACGGTTACGGATGAATCGATACGTTTAAGTATCCGAGTATGAATCGATACCACTAAATACTTGTATGATATATATAATTTTCTTTCGATATTAATACCAGTAGTCATCATACCAACATTCGATATTAAATAAATTCCTCTATCCGATACTATTATACTAGTACTTTGGTACAAAAGATAGTATCAATTCATATAAATACGTAAGTAAGAGCAGGATAGACACAAGGTATATAAAATGTCAAATTTGTCAGAGTGCGGAGACAGAGCCAGATCTTTGGCTTTAGAACAATGATGATGTTTAAAATTGCTTAAGTATATATATAATATATAAGGAAATTCCTTTTAGTTATTTTTTATTACCGTGAAAGTTATTAGAAACATTAAATCGTGTACATTTTACAAACTAAACTCTTAAATCACTTCATAAAGTTACAACAAACAAGAAAACTAAAATTGTTGTTGTATTATAATTCTAAATATTAATTTTCGTATATTTTTAAAACATACATAATCTTTAAATATCTTTTGAAGCTGTCTCTGTCAACATTGACGTGAATGCATATTACGTAAGAACAAAACTGATTATAACTCAAAAAAAAACGAAAAATAATTATTAAAAACTACAAAGGCGGTAATGAGTTCAAGAAATTCGGGCAAGGACTTTCAGGCCATACCTTTACCTACTACTTGTAGTTTTAAAAAATGTTTTCAGATTTTTTATAAAATCATCATCGAATTACGTAACTAAATATTCTATACATTTTTTCCAATTTATTTTGATATAAAGACAACATTACAAATCCAATCACGCAGCAATTTAAATAAGGTCACATGAAAAGAAACAGCTTTCACGAAAATAAATATCATCAAAATCGGTACAATCATTAAAAAGTTTTGGTAACATATATAAAAAAACATAGTGTCTAGTTGAGAACCTCCCTTTTTTACAAGCCGGTTAAAAACCATACACATTACGTTACACAAAACTGTCAATTTTGTCCAATTAATATTGAACTTTACTACAATCAAAGAAGGGTTCAAAATATTTTGCAGAATTTGCCGTCTGTACCAGAAATGGATACCCAATTAATTTTAAAGGCCCCTGAATATAACCACGATATAAACATTTCTTTTTCCCTTGTACTCAGTAACGATTCAATAAAATCAAACTCTAATACCGCTCTCTTTATCTCTTTATTCATCTAACACTAACATTTTTACGTACGTCAACAACTCTAGCTTTTATACGTAACTTTTCTATAACTAAACTAGTCGTCGAATTAATTTGAACCTTAACTCTACCATTAAAAGACTCGAATCCTTTGACCGTTGAGTGTTTTTGAATATTATCGCATTATACACAAAGTTGCTTTTTCAGTGTTCGAGTTAATTCTTCGTGGTTACCTCAAAAACCCTTCGCATCTTTCGCTTCTTAATTTTTCTATAATTTCATCTAATAATTTTAACGCCAAGAGGTTTATCGTTCCCATTTACAATCATAGACTAGACACAAAGGCACAAAATTAGCAATATCAATACTATAATAAACTAACTCGTAATATTATTAAAAATACTAATATTTGGTTTTTGAATACTATAAAATAAAATATACAATAAAATATTATAATAGTCAGATCATTTTTTTTAGTAGATAACACATCCTTTGAATAAAAAAAAATGTTATAATTTGATTAGAAACACGGAAATTGATGAATTAATTTAATTATAAATTGAGCAATTATTTAATTTAATATTGTATTCGAGCATTTCGTGTAAAAATATTATTTTAATCAATTTATAATTTTTATACATTTATTAGTTTACTATATTTATAAAAAAAAACAGAAAATAATGTGAAATGTCATGCACCATATATTTTGTGTATTATTATTAAACAAATAAAAACTATTATATAAAAAAACAAAATAATGAATCAGTCATGTTTAGGAAGCTAAGTCAATTACAAGACAGAAATTATTCTAAGCGAATTGAGCACGTGCCTTACGCATAAAAGTTATGTTTTAAGTCGCATTTATTAATTATTTGGATTCTATTACTAATATAGTTTTATTTGGAACTGGTTCTTTTGCAATGATTATTGTCAGGCAGTGCTAATTCTAAATTAAAACTAAGCGTATCTTAACTTTATGACACGTGTGTATTAGGACGAAAACCTCTTGAGCGTAATCTGTTGGCTAATTGATTTAGAAAAATATCTATTTCTAAAACTATATTAACGTGTAAACGAATTATTACTATACTATAAACGAGAGCTCGTTATGATGAGTGGTGGTTGTCATTCCACAGCTGCAGCAACAAGGAACGTTTATTCCAATCTGAAAGTGGAGAGATATGACATAAATTCATTAACAAATTACTAGAATATTTATTACTAACTTAATAACAGAATTAGCACAAAATTATGAATAGGAAAGGTACACCCATTTAGATATTATTGATTTCAGTGTGTAGCATTAAGATTCCTTATTCTATGCTAATATGTACACACACATATACCTACAGTCAACAAATAAGATCGATGCCAATCAATAGGTTTGACCTCCAATTATTTTGATTGATAATGACCACGACTGCTTTGTTAAGGATGACACGTTACTCTATCAAACTTCAATAGATTTTTATCGGTCTTGTTTAATGTAAGAGACAGGCCGATTTTTTTCCCTCTCTCTCTCTCTCTTTTCCTCAGCCTGTCTCGACCCTCGTTTCTAGACCTCTTTTAATCTACGGCATTCGTCTCGTTCTCATGTAATGAATATCACCATTTTTCTAACGGTTAATTTTTGGATGTTATTAGAAGATGCTTTTTATCCAAATATCGCTACTCAAGCTCTTCTATCAAAACTTCCCTCGTATGGGCTTCCCGAGAAATTATGTGCATGCGTCACTAGTTTTTTGGCAGACAGAAGGTTTTAATCAACGTTGAATGCTCAGACTGTCTATTATGCTGGTGTTCCCCAAGGATGTGTGCTATCGCCTACCATTTTTCTTCTGCATATTAATGACATGCTGAAAATAAGCGGTATTCATTGTTATGCAGATGACAGTACGATGGACTCCTCCTATAACGGTTGTGCGGGTATTTCTCGGGAAAGCGTCGTTGAGCGCCGGAATCAACTTGTGTCTGACAATGAATCTTCGTTAGAGGAAGTCACTAACTGGGGTCGACTTAATTTGGTCCATTTCAACGCCACTAAAACACAGGTTTGCGCGTTCACCGCCAAAAAAACCCCATTTGTCGTATCGCCTCGCTATCAATCACTTACCATCAGGTGATCCGTCTGTACGTCTGTCCCCAATTCCATAAAAAAAAATCTACTAATTCAGTGAAAATTTCTATGAAGCATTCCACTGTATTTTTATTCTCTGGCTGTACAAATATCCCATTTGCACTAGAATAAAAAATATTACGAGTCCTAGAACATCAAAACGTCATTTTCCTCCTATTTCTGCTCGAACAAAACATATTTAGTCAATCAATAAATTAAATCAATCAAATTCAATCATTCATTTAGTGAATGGCAATGCAGCTAATTTATTCTACCTATTTTATTATTAGTGAAACTCTTCAAAATTTCACGCTGCGACCGCGCCTGATTTAACCCAATATGGTCATTGCGTAAAAGATAGGATTTAATTAGTGAGATCATGTACATGTGTCTAGGTCTGACAGCTACAAATATTAGCTAGGCATTGATTAACTAAAACCTCACAAATATTGGGTAAGACAAATAAGACAAAACACATTTAAATCCAATTAGGAGATTATCCAAACCAATCCAAAGATTAGGGGCCGAAAACTTTAAGGACGGAATAGCCAATATATACAATTTACAATATTTCACAGTTTTTATAGAGCAACTGAAAGATTTCAATTTTAGTAAATGGAACTTGAAAGAGTCGGATGCGCAGGTTGCCGACCTGAACTAGGCTGGCTAATAAATATTCCAATAAAACACTGCAGAACAAAGTTTATCATAATAATATTAGTGTACGGTTACCTCAAATATCAGCTACGGATTGGTTGGCGAGCGAACCGTCCCACGCCGCCTCCTTGTGTAGGGCTGCTTGACGTTTCTTTTCTGTAAATAATAATTATATTGCGTTAATATTAAGATATTAACACGAACGTGTATTTTACCCTTTACCCATATTACTGTTAAGAAATTAGAGCGAATTGGCATCGAGAATAAATTTCATATTTTATATAGGAAATCCTAGTTTGCGGAGCAAATAACAATACAAAAATTTTGACATGTTTCACTATGCTCGATACAAATACGATTCACTAATAATGTTAATATTCTAGCACATAACACAATGGCAGATCTGGTATAGCAAGGAAGAACATAAAACGCAATCAAAAAGAAAAATGCTTTTAAAAAGAAATAGAAAAAGACTACAAATGCTGCTGGGACCAACGGCTCGAGATAGTATTTTTTTTTTTGCAATACAAAGCTATACTGAAAATTATTCTTAATAAAAACTGCTTCAAAAATCCACATTTACTTTATATCAAAGTGATTTGTTGCTGACATATAATTAATTTTTATTATTAATATTTATTCATTGAACTTTATTGACCAATATAAAGATGGTACAAAAGGCGGACTTGATGCTACTAGCATTCTCTCTCAGAATGCTATTAGCATTAAGTCCGCCATTTTCTCAACCTTTGGGAAAATAGAAAAACACTATGGCGGTACAGAACTTTTGAAGGTCTGAGCCCCCGCAGTGAGAACGTATTATGACATTGACTTTGACCAACTGACCCCTGGCAATGGTGATGAGCCGCCGCTCCTCGGCCCGTTCTTGCCGCGCGGTGCTCAACTTGACGCCAAGCGCGCCCGACACCAGCCGCCGAGCCAGCGCCGTGCAAGTCTCCGGACGCTGTCTGTTGCGTCATAACTTAACTTAGCCGATGTCCATACACATTATAGCTAGATTACACGTATTAAATAGACAAGTAGTCAACTTATTTGTTTACTTAATTTTAAGCGATTACAATTTAGTTAATTACTTGTTGACTTAATACGTGTAAACCAGTGACGCGTCGGATGATACAATGCATGTTAAAATATTAATATTAATCACGATATACGAGGTGGATTTTTGAGATAGTAAGGGAAGGTACTTTAAATATTACAGTTACATGAAATATTTCTAGGACCATCCACTTTTTAAGATATTTTGATCGGCAAAGACAGATTTTGGATAAAAATGCAGTCACGTGATCATATTATCACAGTAATAAATAGAATCATTCGGCAATAAAAAAAATTTCGCATTGATTTTTAGTTTGTTCATACAAAATTGAACGGTCCTAGTGTCCTTGCATCCGCACATTGTTGAGAATTTGAACAATATATATGAAGTCATAATAAACGGATTCTACATACAATCTTTAATTTTTACATGGCTGGAAGGGCGGACTTTATAGCAAAATTTCGGGTCTAAAACGGCGCACATTCAGGCTTTTTAATTTTAGAAGTAAGCAACCCTACTTCCACACGCAAAACAGGCGCAATTCTGCCGTCGAGTTGCGGAGTTGATTTAAAAAACTTCTAAACATTCAAGGTCAGTGCACATCGCTCGTGGGTAACATTACAAGTGACATATATTGGTGCATAAAATAGATTTATGTGTTTACATTTTAACGTTCACCATCTAAACCATTCAAGGCCTCATGCATTACAAAAGCGTAAACGTGTGCGATTAAAAACGAAGTGAGACCTCATTATAAATATCATCATAATGTTGAAAGGGTTTATGACATACTTTCTTTACGCTACCGACAGGTAGAGGGAATCCCTAATATGGAATACTACATTCTTAGTTAAATTTTCCTAACATCTCTGATTTCTCGATTTACATCTCAGACTCAAAGATCATCGCCATCTTTGAGTCTGAGGACCGGTGTACGTGCGAGTCGCTAGACATCGTAAGTTTGAAACTATGAGCTATGAGCGTTCTTTTTGAAGTGAGCCTCTAACGTACCTGTAGGGCTGCAAGAACTCCGCACACTTTTTAGCTTTGTTTCTGGATTCTAGTGTGGCAGCGTGCAGCGGTCGGCATCGCACTAGAGGTCGCTGGCTCGCCACCACTTCCGCAGCTGTAACCAGAAACAAACAATGTGGTAATTCAATATTTCTGGTATTATAGTTGCAAGACAGATGTGAAACACGCGCCGATTAACAATAAGTAATGGTTCGTAAGATTGCCAACTGATATTTGTTAAATGAAACACCAATCTGATGCTATAAACTGCCCAGAACTTGTGTCCAAAATCACAACAGACTTTTAGATTCAATCCAACGGCTCTTAGGTTTTATTAATGAATGTGTTTGGATTTTTACATCTGTATATTTACTCCTATTCCTAAAGTTCCGCTTCTCCTAGTGGTCCTATTAAAATAAAAATTAATTCAATAAATTGAGTAGTCCTACTTCGAATCCTTTTTATTTCCCGGTTTTCCAATGTAACGTCAACACTTTTATACTGTTAATTACAAGTTGTTCCGGATGAATATAAAGTATTAAAAGAACTCCTAACATTCCACCAAAGAGGTAACATTTCTTATTAGTCTTACAAACAATGAACTGTTTCCTGGAATATCTGACAATTAGACTTTTTGCAACTGTTTTGTTTGTTTCTAATTGAGTTACATATTATTTATGTTTGTTTAGTCGTCAACTATATTTCAGACAAATAATTAACTTGCGGTTTATCCACTTCGCTGAGTGGAGTTATATTTGAAATAAATAAACGTTCATATTATTGATCGATGTTTTCCTCCATAAAAAATTACTATAGTCATAAACTGCAGTTATTTGAAATACCTAAAACGATGTTCTTATAAATTTTAATAATACACGTATACCAGTATAAACCAACATTCTTATTCCAACAGTGTCAGTTATTAGGCTTACGTAAAAGTAAATTAACGAGTAATATTTATAACCATACTGAATTTATATACTTTTGTCATGCAAAAGAAACATTTAAGAAATTTTAAACAGATTTAGATATTTAGGAAATGCTACGCTTTCTCGACGTCACGACAAGTTTATGTTTTCCTGCAAATTTAAAGCGAAAAATACCTAAATGTTTGCATTTCATAAATAAAACATCTCACAATCTAATAAAACGTGAGCAGATAACCTTCTAAAATTAAATGTTTCTCACGCACTGCGCAACATGCTACATGTACACTATGTCACGATTACATTAGCTGTTTTACAACGACTCTAGAAAGCAGCTCAAGTTCAAGGCAGCAATGGACGGTAATTTGAATAAACAATAGACTGCATGTTAAAAAGAGGTCTATAACGAAATTGAAAGTGGCGTTTGGGGCAAAATTTTAAGAAGAGCGATTTTGCAAGAGTGAATCGTGAAACAAATAAATAACTGTAACTGTAACGAAAAATGCTACTTTGATTGTAATACATCAGATGTGTGATCAAAGACTTTTATAAAAAACACCATTCTTAAAATGTATGCGAAAACTTAGAAATGAGCTTAGATTTATTATTATCTAAAGATTATAAAATTATTAGAAACATCTAACTTCTTCGATATGCTCATTATTATTAAAGAAAAAGCTATATAATGAAAAAATACATTAACAATGTATTTACAGCCAATATCAAATATTCATTCGCAGCTTCGCATAGAAACTTTACCATTATCTAGACGAGCCCTAAGCTGCCGCCCGCTCGTCTTTTGCGTTTCGTTACCTTGGAAGGTGCGTGACTTGCAGTTGCAACACGCTCTTGATCTAACCCGAAATCTTTACGTAATGTTACGACAGCTGATCGATTTACTCGATGCAATTGCAGCATCTCAGACACGGTGGTTTCAGCAGTTTAATTCGGTATTATAAAGATGACACAATGTCGTCACTTGGTTTAGTACCGCTACTGACAGCGAGCGGTTACTGACCTTAATTGCAAAACTCAAGATCGTAGGTACAATATTCTTGTAGCGTTCGGAATGCAATCTCGCGAGATTGGGGCTCGGGCGTGACTTTATGAATATTAATACCGCGAGATTGACATTTTTGTGTATTTATTGTTACAAACGATCACAATATTAGAAAAAATAATAGGTTTTTAGGGGCACTCAATAAAGTTTTATGTGTTTAACATTGTTTGTAATTTATATTTTTGTAATTTATGTATATTTTTTTATTTAAACTTTAAACAATAATTTAGTATGCTGGAGTTTTTAGAGGCGTTAAATTGATTTAATTAGGTTTTAATTTATAAATGTGCAAAGTGAAGCTCAATCATTAAAATGTATTAAAATGTAGGGATTCAGAAACGCTGATATAAATAATAACTAAAATTATATTTTTATTAGATTTACGTAATGGATTTGTTTAAATTGGGCTAACTGTTCTGGCTAAGGTGATATTATTTGGCAGTGTTACCTAGTACAAACTATTTTATAATTAATGATGCTATGTTGTTTTTAAAAATTGCACGCGTGAGGCTTATAAAATTATAGAAAAATCTAAACGATTTTAAGAAAAAAATGATATCCTATTTGTTGAACTATAACTAAAATATTATTATAAAATTAATGGCTATTTTGCAATTTAATATTACAATAATAATACGATAGTAATTAATACTATATAATTATAACCATAATATTATCAATGTGATAATTTGCTAATTACTAATTTAGTGTATTTTACCAATTTTGGGAAAGATTTACAGGTTAAGATTTAATTTCTATATGTAAAATGTAGATTACACATAATGTAATATAACAAACTAATTAATCCTCAGATATTGCCTTAGATGTGCGCTAAATCAATCCTCGATACTGTTTATTGTTCCCCTTCTCTTGATTATTTCACCGAAATTGAAGCGGTTGTTGAATCCTTGGATCTGAATATGCACATATCATCATCATGGGCGATCTTAAAACCAATCTCCTAGTACCTGATTCCTCAAGATCCCTAAAACTCCTTTATATTCTGCAAGGTCAAACGTTTTGCCCTTTCAATCAACACATCAACATATTTGTGGTGATGACACATAGCTTAATTTAATGTTAAGCTCCACCCTCTCTCCTGGCCCTTCACATGGTCAACGTATCGCCCCTGGATTTTCTAGTCATGATCTCATTTACTTTTCCTATCTCCTTAAACCACACAAATCCTCCCCTAAGGTTCTGCACAGGCGATCCTTCGCGTATACTAAAGTGTATATTCACTGTCACAAAAAAATATCGCTCTCAAGAAAATTGGTATTTGGTCAAAACTGCTAGGAATCAGTGTAATCAAATGATACATCACGTGAAACGCCGTCACATTCGCAAAAATATTACTTCTTCATCTTCTGCCGATATCTGGAAGTTCTTCGGAACACTAGGCATCCGTTAATCACGTCATTTAGACCTATCTGGTTCAATAAACTTTAATGATCTCCATCCACAATCATGCCGTAGATTATATAAATGGTCTAACGCGTCCTAATATAATATTTTCACAAGTCACACCGACAGTGATCAAAAAGATTGTATGATATATAGAGAAAACTAAAATTACTTGTCTAATTCTAATCGATTTTTTCAATGCTCATAAAACCGTTAGTTACGACATTCTTCTTTCCAAATTATCCCATCTTATAGTCTCTTGACGAAGTGTCGACATGGTTTTCATCTTATTTTCGAGAGCGTCAGCAGGTGGTGCAGTTTGGCGAACATTAGTCATCCTAGTGCAACCTCGTAACTGATTTTCCCCAGGGCGGCATTCTTTCTCCTCTTCTTTTTAACATTTTTATTGATTTTATCATTTGTATGCTGATGACTTGTAATTGTATACCCGAAGCAAGTGTTGATAAGTTAAATGATGCCATAGATTTGATAAAAGGGACTTAGTTGCTATCAAAACTTGGTCGGATAATTTTGGTATCGCTGTAAATCTCACTAAATGTCAAGCAAAACTTTTGGGTGGTGTTGAAGACAGCCACGTGCCGAAAAATGTACAGATCGAACGACCAATCACAGCGCCTACATTAGCGGAATTATCGGGGAGCCCATTGGCTGCGTAGGCGCCGTCCGCACGGTGGGGGCGATTCCCCCACCCGGCGCGCGGGCGTAAAACGCGCTGTGATTGGTCGGCCGCCGCGCGTCACTAGTATCTAAGTTAGATGTTAAGTTTAGAATAAGGGTAGGGCCAAATTTGTAAATATTCGTAGTCAAGTCAAGTCAGTCAAGCAGTATAGTCAAGCAGTAATAAGTAGCCAGTAAGAAGAAAATACAATAAATCGCCTATAGAAGAAATTCGTCTTTGTTTTTCACCATCATCCACGGTTATACAGCATCCTCAACAGTTTGGTCCATAGAGCCGGATCAGCACCCTCAATAGTTTTGGTCCTTCGAGCCGGATCAACATCGTCAACAGTTTGGTCCTTCGAGAAGCCGGATCTAAACACGTATAGAACCTCCGAGATCCAGCAAACAGTGAATCAAGATGGTACTTACAAGAAGCCAAGACGAAGAAAACCAACGTCGTGTCTTCGACCAGCCGCCGAGATCGCCCTCAAGTACACCGACCGTACGAGGACGCCTCGAGACGGGTAACGCCGGGGAGAGCCTACGCACCGCACCGCAAGTCTCGCAACTAGCGCCTAACGCAAACCGCGCTGGGGCAGACGTTGCCGGAGCACGCGTCGCCTTGGCAGTGACTACGCAGCCGCCGAGCGGAGCGGACGAACGCGCAGCACACCCAACGGACACAGCGGCGACTACTGGAATAACGACATCTGCGATGACGTCATCGGTGCAACCGGCGAGGAGAGTGCACGTCGCGCGTTCGACCCGCTCGGCAGCGAGCAACGCGGCACGCCGGAAGCTACGCATCGAAGCAGAAGAACGACTGGCTGCCATAAGACGCCGAGAACTCGAAATTGAAGCGGACCTCATAAAAAAGACGCTCAATATCGAGTTAGAAACACTAGACGGAGCAGAGAGCGAACCCGAAGCTGAAGAACCGGCAAATAAATTGCAAGATCGAGTGTTCGAGTGGCTCGACGACGCGAACGTCGACCAACAACGGGGGGAGCTCTCAAGGACCGCCGTGGCTGAACCGCCACCTGA